CTACATGTTTTATTGAACAAAACAAAGGCAAAGACCTTTCTTTACTTGACCATTACTGCCTCACCTTCAACAGAATGAGAGGTATCCAGTTTTGTGACATATCGAAGTTACATCTCTATGCAGTATTGTCCACAATGTCTTAAGATAACAGCATGCTATGAAGAGGAAGGCAACTACTCCCATTCCTAGAGGTACACAAAAATATGTCATCATAAAATCATGCTACACCAGAACAGGTCTTTCTCCATCAATAACAAAAAATTCACTTTAAAAATACTCATTTTGTTAGAAAACTACTACAAAAAGAGTATTTTCACCAAGGTTCCCTGCCCCATACTGAATATCAACCCATTGCAATAATAAAGTGGAGGGAAAGTATGTATAAAAAGTTACATTTGCACCTCTGAAAATGATTGAGAGGAGATTAAGACCTACTTGCTGGTAAAACACTCTGTAAGAAGCAACAGTATTAGAAAAGAATTTGTAACTATTTAATCACCTTAGTTTTGACACAAAAGCTTTCTTCTCTCTACTTGTCCCACACTCAATTTATATGAAACCAGAAGAAATTTATCAAAAAATGTGTCCTTTTTTGCACTGGTTGCTATGTCTGTGCCTTCCCCCAGTATCTCTATTATATTCCAATTACAGGAAAACTAAACAGGCTGCAAGGATAGCATACTTTGAAGGGCTGACAAACTTCTTTCTATTTCCTAAATCAGCACATCAATTACATAAACTAGTGATACACACTGCCAGCTGAATAAACAAAAATACAAACATATTTCTAAACCACAACCATTTCTCTCAGCTACAATCTCATTATTACTATCAGTTAAAAAACGGCCACTTCCTCTTTGTAAGGCTTGTATTCAAACATATTTTTCTCCATTCTTTTGTCATTGTTTTAGACTGCTCAGTGACGTTCATGTTTTCTTTTTCCTCATTTTCTCAGACAAAACAAAAGTGCAACTTATTCAGACATTCAGGAAACAACACAATTATTAGAAATTTTTTAAAGTAAGGTTTTCACCATCTTCCTCAAGAATACTACTATAAAGGTAGGTCAATGACCAATATTCTGACATTTTTGTTTCCCTGACAACTGGAAATACTATCAACCAGTAGGAAAAAAGAGGTTTCTGAGCTGATGGGCTCACAGCTTCTCACTGTCTAGTGGAATAGAGTCAACCACTTCTTTGGAGATTTGGAGCACCTCAGCTCCCACAGATGGGAAGGAAAAACCCCAACAGATTAAGAAAGCAGAGAATTCAAGCCAGGATGGGACAGATGGATATAGAGAGAGGTTTTGACCTAGCTTAAACATGCACACAGCCTCTGGACCTTAGGACATTGGCTGCAAAAGCTTTTGGAGTGCATAAGGTAAGATACCTGACAACTCTTGAGAGCCCCATCTCTGCCTGCCAGAGAATACCCCACCACCTACTGAAGTCAGGAGCCTTGTTTCCACAACTGACTCCTCTTGCCTGATACCTCAGGTTGGCCACTGGAAGACAGTTATGGGTGGATGCTCAAAGACTTCCTCAGGTTAATTCACATGCTAGATTCAATGACAATAATTGCATCAAAGAAAGGTTAAAAAAAAAACCCAAATAAAAACCACAAAACAAACACATACCAACCAGTATGCTTCTAACTAGTCTGTCTGGCAGCTTTGTAATAACAGTATCTAGTTTGGTAACCTTGACCTGGATCCTTGACTCTTTCATCTGTCCTAACAAAGTTTTTGATGTAGCAATGTCCACTTAGCATTAGGGAAGATACCCTTTGGAGCAAAGTACTTCTCAAAGTTCAGCTACATAGCACCTTCACCAAATGATTATATAAAAGGGAGAAAGGGGCAAGGGGTGGTTAATTCTTCATCCTCAACTTTCCTAAGTAAAAGAGATGACTGAACAACTTGCCTTTATGTTTGTCTTTCCTGGGAACTTGACAGAAACCTTAAAAGTTCACTTGGTGAAATCAACTGGCCAGATATTACAAAGTTCAGGAGGCTGAGTTATACCAGTTACATAGTGTGATCTAGAAAGGTGTCCTCCCATTTCATGCAAGTAAATGGATTTGAAAGATTTCTGTTCAAATGGAGCTGTTCCAGGTGATGCCTTTGCAGAGCAGATGATTCTCCCTGTGGTTAGCATTCAGGAACCCATAATCATGGAATGATTATGCAGGTGCTTTTATTGAAGAGCTCTGGGTGCCAGGGGCACAGACCCAAATCTGACTCCGACATGGGTTTGGGATGAACACGTTTTTATACCCTTATCGTTATATGACTACTTAATAATTATTAAACTTATATTGTTCTGTCATATATATTGATTTCATCCAAGCACGGATTTTTGTAATTTCCATCAACCCCCCCCAACATCGTTTCTCATGATTTTTGTTATGATTAGACAATAATTATATCCAATTACCAAACAATCATCACATCTAACAATCATATCATTTATCATAGTCATTAAATGATAATACAGGTGCAGCCTAACATTTTCCCAGGGCCTACCAGGCCTATCCTTCCTTTCTAACTCCCCTGAATATTCCATGATTTAGAAACATTTTATCCCTGTACTATCACTATGACACTTATAATGATACCTTTTGGATAGAATAACATTTCAGAACAGCTGATCCAGTTTTGTTCCAGACTTTTAAAAATTATAAGGAAGACTACGAAAAATAAATTATTTTAATGTCCTTTCAAATCCCTCTGACACAGCCTTTTACTCAGATTACATTAAGGTTGATTTATAGCACAATCAAAATTAACAATCTGTTGCATGAGTTTTGCCTTTTTGCTAATGTCTGGTCACAAACTGAGTTTTCAGAAATGGAAAGCAAAAGGATGCTTAAGAAATCAATGCCAAAAGTCTAAATTTAACAAAATAGTCAGAAATGTTTTCTTTAAGTATCTGAATCCCATCTTGCCTTATCATAATACCTTGTCTAAACAGTCAACAGTCTCTCCAGCTTCAACATCTAGTGTAGCACCATTAAGGCTAGCTCTGGAGCATTTAATAGGCAGCATAAAGTAATTCTGCCATTAAGCATTTTCCATGGAATGTCATAAATAAAAAATATGTGACCTTTCAAAACAAAACATACTGTAATTCCTTGAAAAAAAAGGTGCACTTGACTAATGGGAACATGTTGGTTTCAGTCCTCACACAGAACTAAAAAGCCTTACATACAGTTCTTCCTCAAACATGCTGGTTTTTAAAATCAGGTTACAAACATCTAAACACACAAGTTCACTGTGCTGACAGCTGCAGGAACTATTCGGCTCTACTGCCTTCACAGCAGGACTGGACTGCCCCAACAGGCTGAGCACTGCATTGGCAGCACTGTCAAATGACTTATTTGCAACCAAATATCAGCAGATTAGCAAAACAAGCACAGATCTGTACAAAACCAGTGAACAGACATGCTGTACCCTGCAATAAAGCAGACTACCCTATTACACTCACATAAAGGCCACATCCCTTATATATAATGCCAAATTTGGGGAAGATTGAAGCTCTCATTACAGCCAGTAAGACATATCTGCAGTGGCACAGACACACTTGAAGTCTTTGTACAGAAAACTCTGAGCATAGGCACACCCTATTTGTGTGACTTCCTCCTTCCAGACAGGGGTCTGTTCTTGCTCCAGATCTAGGAGTGGTTTACATATTTGAACAAGAATAAAGTTCTACATATCTATAGTGCCTTTCACTCAAAGATCTCAAAGGACTTTATACCTATTATATACGTCCCAACCCCTCCCCTTGTGAGGTAGGTATTATTCCTATTATTTACAGATGGGGAAATTCAGGCACAGAGGTTACATTATTTGCCCAGGGTCACACAGTGAGTCAGTGACAAAATAAAACAGAATCCAGATGTTCTGATTCCTGTTTGCACAATCCAACTACTAATAAGCCTCATTTTCAAAACAGCATTAAACAAGTACCAGTGTGCATAAGAACAATCTTGCTTTTCATGGGTCACTCCTGAAAGGCATAAGAAAGGAGAAAAAATAGAAAGAAGAAGATGTGGAAACACATAACTTACTTCCTTCTGCAAGCCAACACATCTTTAAAGAAAGTTTCTGCTAACACCCCTCCCAAAGCTGAGGCAACTTGACTATGAACCTGAGAAACAGGGTGGGAAGAAAAGAGACTGATTGACTGACTGAAAAAAAAAAAAAACCCAAACCAAGCTAAACAGCTATACTGTAAACCTTCATCTTGAAAGCACAGGGTCATAAAATAAATAGGGCTGAGAGGGACCTCAGGAGATCACTGAAGTTCATCCAACCTACCCTGAAGCCAGGATCAACTACACCTACTTGTTTCCAACAGTCTGGTTCACCTGCTCTCAAAGACCTCCACCAGTGGAGATGCCATGCCCTTCCCCTGCCATCTGTTCCACCTTACACTATCACATGAGCAAAAGAGGACAAACAAGTCTTAAGATAGCTACTTCTGCTATTTCAGTGGGGGTATGATGATTCCCAGGCCTGTCTAATGATCTGAATGTATTTCAGAGAAGGTAGTCTCCAGATATTTATTTGTTTCTGTTCTGGATTCCTTGGGAAAACATCAAACAGTGATGTCTGCTGTAGTGTAATATTTGAATATTATTTGAAAATACTGATTAATACCAGGATACCAATATACTTACTGCCAAGTGCCAAATCCTACAAGGTCAATAACAAAAGACTTTGATATGATAATTTCAGCTCATTGCAGATTCAAACTGCAATAAGAGGGTAGGGAAGACTACAGGAAAACCCCACAGCAAAAGTCAGCAGCTCAGAGTTGCCAAGTTTCACCCAAATGCAGACAAAAATCAGGCAGCTGACAACACATCTTCAGCAGAGGCAGCACCATATGATCTCTGTAGCATCCCTCCATCTTATCTGTTTTCAAAGTGCATTCTCAGTGCAAAAAGTAGGATTGAATTTAGAGGGGCTCACTGTCCCCAGTGGTTTCATATTAAGACCAGAATTCTTGCTTGAGTTCATATGCTGCAGCTTTGTGTGTGTTAAGTTCACTTCTGCATAGCGGAATGGTGCTGTCCTGGCTCTGCCCCTCAGCATCCATGTCCAACAGTGTCCGCTCCTCTGCAGGAGGACCCACCTGGAAAGGAAGCAGTGCAGGCAGTCCAGGTCTCTCTTCTACAGTGCTGCTGCTACTAGCAAAACAAGAGTCAAGATTGCTTGGAGTATCAGTACTTGAACTGTTGGCAGAAGATTCACCCTTGGCATTGCTGGGTGACACAAACCACCAGGGATCAAGCCGCTGCCGACTGGCTGCAGGACGTGGCCGGGGTAGGAACTCCAGTGTCTTGGGTCTTTCCAGTGTGGGATCCTGCTGTGCATTCCATCGTCTTGGGGTTGGAGGAAAAACAAGGTTGGGGTCTGGCAAACGAGGGACCTCACTGGGATCTCTGCTTGGACTAGGTGTTTTTAATACACCTATCCAAAACAGGCAATGTAAGAGAAGAGGGAAAAACATGTTAGCTGTCATTGCTAAGTGGTTCCTACAGATCTTAGTTTATTGTATATACAGTGCAAAAACATACTCAAAGCAGAAAGCCTTCATTCAGAATCTACAAACACTGTATCTTCAAGATTATGGCAATGTGAAGATGCTGGAACCAAAACCATTACTCCATTATTCTGTCAGCTACTTGTGTAAAGATAGGCTCCACAAGCAATTCTTGTGGGCTGGTCATCTCAACGAATGTATAAGCAACAAGTAATTATATTGATTCTGTCTTTACTCTGAAGAGGAAAAGGAAGATGGCTGAAAACCTACCTGTTCCCAGTGCTCCAGTTAAACAGCTACTGGAAGGGCATCCACTGGTTGGGCACCCATTGACGACCAATCCACCCCCTTTGATGGCTCCATCAGAAGGCGTGCGCCTGTGTCCACTTTGCTGGGTGTGGGAAGAGACCGTCACGTGTGTGGGAGTCAGGGACTGGTTGGGGTCTTGTTTGAACCTCTCGATCTGGACATTGACCAGTGGGTTTGTAATGGCTGGCAAGGGAGCCTTGACTGTCACTGGGCTGACAGGCATCTCATAAACCACAATCTCATCACTGTCTGAGCGCAGCAGGGACCGGGTGGAATTACATTCGGAAATGGAAGACAGGGAAAGAAGGGTGAGGGATGTGGATGGCTCGCCTAGCAACAACAGGGGATCATCCTTCCTGAAGATCTTCCGGGAAGGTGGACTAGTGCTCCTGCGTGGACGTCCAGCTCGCTGAAAAAGGCTGTCACGCTTCTTCTTCTCTTCCTTGGGCACCTCTGGCTCTTCCTCAATCAGCAGCTGACACTTCCCTGCTTCTAAGAGATCAAAACCCAGGCCTGCAGCAGCCAGCACTGCTCCACAGCCAAGCAATGCAATCTCACATCGCTTGTGGTGGGAGCCGCTACGTTTGAGGCTGTTGGTGGGTGTCAGCTGTGGGGTACTGGTAGCAGAGTTTACAGGGGTGGACTCCTCATTGGCATCACTAGAAGGGCCATCCCATTCTTCATTCTTCTGAAATGGGATGCAGAGGTATGACTGATTGTGCACAGGTGAAGGGTGCACTTTGCCCTCTCCATTAAAACATTCACTGTCCTCATCATCTGGAAAGCAAATGAAAATAGACTTTGTGTCAATGTAACATTTTCATTGGCAAATTTCATTGTCTCACAAATACACTTCAATATAAGATTCTCCTCAGAAGATGCAACTGTTCTCCTCACAAACATCATTTATCAACTCCCAAATACAGCCTATTGTTTCCAAAGAAGACAGGCTGAGAGAAGTAACTGGAAACACTATGAAAGTGAAAGAAATCAGTGAAGCATTCATCCGCTTGGGATTAATTGCAGAACAGCGTTTCAAAGACAACCTACAACTCAGTAACTTCTAGAGTAAATTTATGTGTTTGTGAGTGAGAAGCAAAAGGCAGAAAAATTTTAAGGATTTCTCCTTTCAAGTGAAGGTGTAAGCATGCAGCACATGTAAATATCATTATTCAGGAAGGAGCTGAGAGACAGCACGGAGCTAGAGGAGAATTAACGGAAACTTGTTAGCTTGACAGAGGGAGAAGCACAAGCAGTGAGGTGAAAAAGAAGAAAATCCATAAGGAGAAAGTGGACACTTGACAAAGAATAGAGAAAAAAGAAAAACAGATACCAAACAAAATTAAAACACTGCTGTAAGGTAGCAGCTGAAGGTCAGGAAAGAGGTTCATTGAAATGTGAATGGAAGTGGGGATGAGAGTACTAAGTTCAGGGAATTCTTTTACCCATCTCTGCTAAGCTGGTGAATCCTGGAAAAGCAGGTGCAGTTCTCTGGATCTTCCCAAGATTTGGTGCACTGGATGACCACTGCTTGCATCCCTCCACCAGAGCTTTCAGACTGAAAATGGTAGAAGGATGTGAGAAAATGTACCATGCTCACAATCAGTTTCCATTCTCCCCTCCCTTATATATTCTCTATTGATTTACTTAGGGTATGCTTGTATCCATCTCAACTATACAGATCTGAAGTCCTCCCACAGCAAGAAATTTTCTGACATCTTTAACTCATTTTAAAAGAAAAAAAAAAAAAAAAAAAAGGAAATAAGAAAAAAAAGGTCTGTTCCTCATGTGTTACGCTGTGGCAGTCAAAAGGCCCCTGCTGGTAACTAGCAAGCTATGAATGCAGAATAATAGAAGGCACCACTACAAAAATCAGAGGAAAAATTTTCTTTTTAAATCAAGGCATAATCTTTTTAAATCTTGATTCCTTTTTGAAATCAATCTTACCATGGCAGGTAAAAAATAAATTGCTCAGCAAGGGCAGGAGAAAACACCTCCAAAAATGTCTTCATGTGAAACACAAATGAACAATGAAATTCAAACATCACTCACTAGGACAAATAAAATAATAAGCTAAAGTCACTGTAACAACAAAGCCATGTCCCTGTGTCATAAACCCCAATATTTTTCTTATAAAGAAAACACAGTATTGAAGTACAGTTAAAAGCACAAGTTCTAAACTATGGGGGAAAAGGTAACTAAATTTATAAACCATGTCATTGTTTCTTTTACTTATAAACAAAAAAAGCCCAAGACAAGAACCCAAACCCAAATCCCTACTTTGGCCTGTGTCTAAATGTATGTTACCAGGCTCCTGAACTTATTAGTGATCTCTATTCATAGGTTTTCCTTATCATCATCCTGCACTAATTTCATGACATCAGACATGTCAACAACTTTCTGACACATCAATATTCAAAGTATTATTATTCATTTATCAACATAGTTTGAAATGGAAAAATTTTTGTGCCTTTCTCCACAAACTCCAACATGAAATATCACAGTGTTGGTGAAAAGCCACACACACTGAAGATAGGCAGAAATTACATGGAAGGAATAAAAAGATCTGAAGATTGTCTAAATGATCTCAACTGGACACACAAAATCATCAATCTGTTATTGAAGGAACAGAAAACTCAAAGATCTCTTCCAACTTCGTTACTAACTTGCATTGTTTTTTGGTAAGCCACATAATTCACTGCCATCATTCCCTTAAAGAGAAAGGGAAATACAACCATATGTAAGTCACATCTCATGATTCTTATTTTCCACCAGAATTACTCTGCATTTCTAAGACAGCCTCCATTCCAGGATTTCAAAAGTTTATTACATGGGGGTAATTTTTTGCCTTGGTATGAGTTTTTCCTCTGCTCTCTACCCAGCTGAGTTGCTGTACTTGTCAACAATATGGCAGCAATAGCAAGGCCACAGAACCTAAACTTGATCCAGCACATGATCATTTGGCTGATGACTGTGGTATAGACATTACACTAAAAGTATCCTGTGCAGTGCTCAACTGCATTGCAAGTCCATTCTCATTAACCATCCTGGCACATGCAGTACCCGCCTGCGATCTCGAATCGACAGCACAGCACTGAGCCCTATTTGTCAAGACAGACAGCCCAGGGTTTTATAACACACATGCCATTCAGTGTGTGCATCTGTTCTGATTTACTCTGCCCACAGCTGTATAAGCCAGCTGTGTAGCACAACACACCAAATAACGCATGTTGGATCTGAATTACCCAGGTGTGCAACATGACTACCTAGGATACATACTATAAACAGGGATGCATATTAGGGGAAAGCTGGTGAGTGAAAATAACCGTGTTAATAGTGTGAAACTGCTAACCTCTGAAACTGAATCTCAAAGCTCTTATAATATGGATAGAGAACTACTGAGGAAGGTGAAACTTCCACAGAGCTGGGAAAACACAAATTCAACTTCGTTTGCTCCTTTTTGACTTCTCAGAGCAATCTTCGCTTGCAAAGAACAAACTGAATGTTTGCTGTTACTATCAAAGTGCAGCTCAGTGTGAACAGGAAGATAAATAGCTACCAGAATAATTTCAAGGCCTCCTACATTTGCCTTAAGGTTATAAAATTTTCATCCTTCCTTTTATTTTTTGCTCCTTCTCTTTTCCCCACAAATTACAAACAGACCTCAAAGACCTGTTCAGAAGATTGCTGCACATCATTTTAGTTAGACAGTGCTGTGCATTTGAAAGCAATTCAAAACATGCCGACTTAGAGAATGTTCCTGCTAGAGCAGTATTGTCTGCTATTGCCCTAAGGAAAGAGCAACTGGAATGATTTGAAAGCACTAGCACTAAAACTATATTTCAATCACCAACATAACAACTCAGGAACCTAAAGACTTCTTACCTGTAATCTATTTAGATTAACTAATCAGAAGGCTGTTACTTACTTTGTTCTATTATTGACTGAGTCACTTTTCTGTTGCCTTTTTCTACTGGGAAGTCAATGGCACCTCTTTTTGAGAATGATAAGATGACAAGGTTTATTTGCTCAGCAAATTGCAAAAAACTTCCTTGCAACTGTAAGACAGCATGTCTGGTGTCTCAATACCATTCTGTAATACTATGTTAAGACATTAATACAATATTGCAGTGAATTTTAAAAAGGCTGTTGCCAGGCTCACCCCTGTTCAGTTTTCAAGATTTTAAGATGTAACTGCCAAAAGATTTTAAGTTACATTCACTATCACCTTCTGAAAAATTAGTAACCTGAACGAAAAGCAGGGTGACCATCACCGTGCCATAGTAAGCCTGTGACTAAACAATGCCAAGTTTAAAGACAATTAAAACTTCACAGTATATCCTTGAGAATACACTGTAAGATCACAACTGAACTGCCACAGAACTAGTCCAACATAAAGCTTCATCCAGTCTCAGCAATTCACTACAAAACTCTTCTGCTGCTGCGCATATTCTTTTTGTTCAAAGATAGAGAAGTGTTAATAATCATTGTATTATCTTTTCATGACTGCCTTTACTTGATATTAATTATAGGTCACTGCAATTCTCACAATGCTATTCTCGAATAAACTTGGAATTATCTCCTACAAAAAATACATGGAAAGTGATAAAACTTATGAAGATAAAAGTTCCCTGGATCACAAAGTCCCATAAGCAGCAGTAACAGCAGCACTTCTCCTACCAGAATGGCATTATGGAGAATACTTGAACTGGACTTCTCTATCCTAAGTTTAGCTCTCCACTTTACCCCAATTCTCCCGTGGTTCAGTATTTGGGTTGGCCCTATTTAATCTCTTTATCAATGATCTGGATGAGGGCATTGAGAACACCGTCGGCCAGTTTGCAGTGACACTGAGTTGGGTGGAAGTGTTGATCTGCTGGAGGGCAGGAAGCTCTGCAGAGGGATCTGGACAGGCTGCACTGATGACGAATCGAGACCAACTGTATAAGGTACAATAAGGTGAAGTGGTGGGTTCTGCACTTCGCACACAACAACCCCATGCAATGTTACTCGTCCCCATCAATGGAGATGAGTGGCTGGAAAGCTGCTTGATGGAAAAGGACCTGGGGATGCTGGTCAACAGGCAGTTGAACATGAGCCAGCAGTGCATCCAGGTAGCCAAGAAAGCCAACAGCATCCGGGAAGGAAAGTGATTGTTCTCCTGTACTCAGTGCCAGCGAGGGCACACCTTGAATCCTGTGTTCAGTTCTGGGGCCGTTACTACAAGAAAGACACTGAGGAGCTGGAGCATGTTCAGAGAAGGGCAACGGAGCTAGGGAAGGGGAATGTCACTCTCATGAAGCACAGCTGAAGAGAGCTGGGGTTGTTTAACCTGCAGAAAAGGGAGCTTAGGGAGTCCTTATCACTGTCTACAACTTCCTGAAAGGAGCATCTAGCCAGGTGGGGTCAGCCTCCTCACCCAAATAACAAGTCATGGGACAAGAGAAATGGCCTCAAGTTGCACCAGGAGAGGTTTAGCTTAAGTATTAGGAGAAATTTCTTCACTGAAAGGGTGGTCAGGCATTGGAACAGGCTGCCCAGGAAAGTGGTGGAATCACTATCGCCGGAAATGTTCCAAAGATGTGTGGATGTGGCACTTGGAGAGATGGTTTATTGGTGAGCAAGGCAGTGTAGGTTAATAGTTTGACTCAATCTTAAATGTCTTTCTCAACCTTAAATATTCAATGAAGTTTTATTGCCTTACCCTGTGTAAATTAAGAATTTAAAAATACTAAAAAATATCAAGAACTATCTTTTGAGTCACTAATATTTACTGCAACTCTGCTCCCTTTAAATTAAAGTCTGCAGTCTGGCATGAGCTCAGCAAGGAGTGGTTCATTGTATGTTAGCCATACTGCCCTCTCAGCAAAACTCTCAAATTTCAGACACTCTGCAAAATGCAATATCCATATCGAGTCTCCCTAGGAGAGACTCTGAGTACTACAGAACATCTCAGCTGTAGAGTGAACAGGACAGTTTTATGAGCAACCACAGTTTGCAAGCAACTCCATTCCAGCTGTCTGTGCCCAAAAGCAATCAGCGCTTCCCACTGATTAGTAATGAATAGAAAATAGAAGAGGTCTATTCCCAGAATTCTAAGAACGTGATTTCAAGGTAGAAGAGGTTTTTTCCAGCTTCAGTGATCTCCCCACCTTTTACATAATTAATGATTGTAAAGTGTGACATCTCTTTCAATTCCTTAGAATGCTATCCTATCCTTCATTTGTAGAACAGGTAAAGCACAGGCAGCAGCAAAAGAAGCTTCCTCCATATTGTCCTGCCAACATGTCTTGAGTATCTCAGAGAAAGAACATGTTTTAAAAGATCCAGGTCCTCTTGCAGGGGACTATAATACTGACGCACTATGCAAACATCAATTTTTTAGGCATTTCACACCTGACCACATAATAGTAAAGATAAAGATTATAACCGGCTATTTTATTTTCCCTGCTAAAAGACATGGCATGAGTCAAACCATCAATTTATCAGGGGGAAAACACTCAAACATTACTAAAAATTACCAAGCATTCAAATCTTTTAGAAGGCCAAAATAGCCCTGTGTTTAAAGCAGCATTCCAGCAATGATTCACTGGAGTCCTGGTATAAATCATTCGCACACACAAAGGAAAAAAAAAGAAACCACAGAACAATAACCTACAGAAACAGAGGTACAACCTGTATTTCTGCAAAAATCACTGTCAGGACTGATTCACTCAAGGCACATGTCCTTTTCAAAAGACTAAAGAGAAGATATCTGCTTGGCTTTACCAGATACTTTTTATATACTAGCATTTAACACAATGAAACTACAGAAAGCTGAGCCTTAAAACAGAGAAAAATTATTACAGAGAATTTTGCACAGCTAAGAAATTTGACAGCTTACAAATACACCTAACAACGTAATACGAGACAGTGAAACATCTGTTGCTAGGCAAATGAACTGAATGCAATTTTGTAAACTGTTCTGAATCTCTAACACCTCTGGCACAGGAAAGAAGTTTGGAAGCAGAAAGGCATTTGCAAGTGGATAGGCAAACATCCTGTGAGCCAGCTCACGATCACCTTTAGAACCTAGAAATGAGTCTTCCTCCAGGCCCTCTCTTACCCCTCTTCTCCTGCACCTAGCTCCTTGTGACAAAGCGAGCTTGGTCCCCAGGTGCGTCCCTTTTTCTTCTGGCCTCTCTTCTCTTCTTCTTCTCCTTCCTCCTTTGGAAGGACTGAGCTTCGTCCCCACGTTTTACTGCTTTCAGCAGGTGTCACTTCACAAATGGAAAGAATAGCGGAAAATGGGAAGGAAAAACAGATACACAGATTAAAAGAATCGGTTCCACGGCAACATAAAGAATAAAACATAGGCCAGAACAGGAATAGTAACAAAAGTGATTTTCCCATAATTCTGACCGTTTATCAACACAAATCTAACAACCAAATGCCGAATTAAGCATTCCCTAATCCTTTCAAGTATAGGTAGCCTCACCAGCTTTATTCCACCACCAGTTTCTCTTTAGAACAAGTGCTGTGATATCCAAGTACAAACACTATACATTAGTTAACACGACTTTCATAATTCTAAGACATGTATGTCTGCCTAATTCTGTGTTAATATGGGAACATTATTTGCATGAAAAGTGCCCTTGTTCTTATTTCCTTAAAACAGTAACTTAATACACTACAGCAATGTTTTACACATCTACTCTGCAAATTAGTATTATTTAAAATTAACTTGTACACCTATGGAATATATTTTCTATAGAAACAGCAGTATTTCACAAACTTGAGTAAGCATGGTTTTAGCTCCAAATCAGGTGGTACTTCCTCCATCACTAGGACACTCCATTTTTCTCTCCAAATGTATACATGCAAGGCACAAGGCAAACATTTTAGGTGCTTTCTTTAACAGTCCTGTCCTAGATAAGGAATCTTGGCATCTTACCACGCTGACAGACTGCACATTTCCCAAATTCAATACTACATTGAGCTCCTTACACTGTATGGCCCTGAGTCTGGGAATAATAGTAGGACTTGCAGGAGGGCTGGAGCAGCTACTGATCAAGCTTTTCCTTTTGTCCATCGTTGGAGAAGCCTGCACAGTGAATTTATGCTGAAAATCTGTTTAGCAAAAGAAAAAAAAAAAGGCAGAAAGACACAGTCAAAATTATCTTTTTTTTTAATATAAGAAAAAAATAAATAATAATTTATGGTAACTTTCAAAGAGTGCAACTTATGTAGAAATGAAGTTTTACAGCTAATTGCTATTTCCTCATTGTACACAATAAGAATTCAGCACAAAGATGTGCACTCACAGCCCTGAAAATGTATCTTCTTAGTATATGTGTGAAACACATACACACACAGACGTTGTGCTGAGTGACATGCCAAATTACACCCCTGTATAAATCCTAGCACCTTACCTCTCACTTTCTTAAGCATCACCAAAAATAGGTGTTTGCAGACCTAAAGAAAGGCATAGGTAACATACACATTTTATCATAATTTCTCTTCTGAACAGCCAATGTCTCCCAGAAAACAAAGAATATAGTGCAAGTCATCATCCCTGATATAACAATGAGCACTAGGTGATTTACAAACCCCAGACATCTGTTTTTTTGACAAATTTAAATCTCCATAAAGAATCTGCAGTAGAAATGCTAAGGATTCAGTATTTCTGAATATCAGCATCTTCACTCTTAAGAGTGACTTTGCCAACATCTTACTAATATTTAACATTTCTTCCAGAAGTCGCTTCAGTGTCAACAGGAGTTCACATATGAACTAGCAATCTAGGGATTTAGTGTCACAGCTATCAATGTATTTTTGGTAATTTTTTACACTAAAAAAAAATCCAGTAAATTATAGTTTCTCATGCAGCATTATGTAAAATATTTCCTGAGCATCATCTTCTATGTACATCCTTTAAAAAACTGATTCTTTTGAGTATTAACATGTTAAACTGCAACACCACATTTTTACAATAAGCTATATACAGCCAACAGCTAACCAACACGTTGCATTTCAAACTAAATTCTGGCCTTCATGTTGGAACTTTGGGCAATACTAGCCACAAGAGCATTAAATTTAGTTTATTGATCCCACGGAGGCACGTTTTTCCTGAAGTACATCAAATCCTTTCCAGTGCATAAGGGTCAGTAATATCAAACCTACAAGTTACTCCCATGTCACCTGGCACAGCCTAACACACCACCAACCTGAAGGCAAGCTGATATGATTGCCATCCTTTAACTTGAGCCGGCTCCTCTTGAACTTCCCCATGCGTTTCTTGACCCGAGGCTTCTCCTGACACAGCTGGTGGATGATGATGTTGAGCTCCCTTTCCAGGATGTCAATCTCACGCTCTGCCAGCTCCTGCTCCCGCCTTCGTAGCAGCTCCTCATGGTTCTTCTGTTCAACAGCAGCACGAGTCAGCTCTTCTTCCCATGTGCGCAGCTCCTGCGGGGAGATAAGAATGTAGAAACAAAAAGCTGCCTTGTGACCTGTGGGTTAAGACTAACATTACTGGTTCTTAAGGCACAGCTACAATGGCTTGCACTCACAGAACCACAAACACCACTGGTTAAAGGCTCAGCTGAGAGCCAAAAACAATCCTCAAGGACTTCAATGCTTGCCATTCAAGGCCCCTCGTACCAGTATTAAAATTCAGACATAACCACTTGTGAGGCCACACCTGAAATCCTGTGTCAAATTCTAGGCTCTCCAGTACAAGACACATATGGATATACAGGAGACAGTCCAATGAAGGGCCATGAAGGTGATTAAGAGACTGGAGCATCTCTCCTATGAGAAAGGGCTGAGAGAGATGGGACTGTTCATCCTGGCCCAGAGAAGGCTTGGGTGGGGTGAAGGGGTATCTTACCAGTGTATACAAAAACCCAAAGGAAGGGTGGAAAAAAGATAAAGCCAGGCTCTCTTCAGCAGTGCCCAGTGGCAGAACAAGAGGCAACAGGCACACACTGAAACACAGGGGACACTCACTGAACTCTTTTTTACTGCATTACTGAGCACCAGCACAGGTTACCCAGAGAGGCTGTGGAGTCTCCCTCTATGGGGATATTCAAAAGCCATCTCAACATGGTCCTGGCAACGGCACATAAGGCAAACCTTTCAATCTATCCCTTGCTGACAAAACAAATTAACTGAAACTGTCCTTGAAATCCCAAAATCCCACTGTGCTCCTCTCCTCCCACCACAAGGACAAAAGAATTCAGCACTTCGAATAATTCTCTCCAGATGGCCAATTCTAGTGCAGAAGGCAAAAACTCCTTCAAACATCAGATAGATAATAAAATACATTTTAGTTTAGATATTTTTAATAATGGCATTGTTACCTGGCTCATCACAGGGACATTTCAATAAGTTCAGTAAGTGAATGGCATATAAAATTATTTCCCCATTGCTAAAGAGGAATACAGTACCCAGCCTGAGGGCAGTGCAGTTAGTACTTTTTAGTTGTTTGTCTGTTGAAGTTTCTGGTTTTCAAAAACTCTTCCAACACAGACACACCATGGGACAACAGCAGCAAGGAAATGCCTATCAGGTAATTTATTTTTCCCAAAAGCTACTAAAATAGATGAATAGAAACATTTTAAGTATTCCTGTAGAAGTTGACTTCTTTCCTCTCACCCAAAGTCTTCTTTTCCTTCTCTCTCTGCCTCTCAAACCCAACCTCTGAGCCCAAATCAAGACAGCTGCTTATTATGAGTTTACTTTCAGGCAAGAGACTGTGAACTTACAAATATATTATTACACTAGTGATTTTGGTTCTGCTGCAGTTTTTCTTACCAATAACTAAAGACAGTCTCTGTAAGGACCTTAAATTAGATGCAGCAAGCTGCTCTCTGCAAGCATGCTTGAAGAAATTGTCAGCTTTTTCACATCTCCTCTTCAAGGCTGATGGTCATCAATCCTGTTATTCCTGCTAACATTTTTGTTTCCTGCTATTTGCCCAGATGGACTTCAGTTATAGCAGTTACTGGACCCTTCCCCTGGTAGCAGTCATGTTTATTAGTCCATGCATTTTGGTTGTGCTCAAAACCTTGAAAACACAAGCCCAGCAGAAACAAAGCTGCAATGTTAACTAGAGTATATATATGCTGAAACTACCCTCCTACATCTCCTGTTAATAGTTTTCAGTGGGTTTCTCAATTAAGATGCTAATAGTGAAACAGTTATCAAATGCAATAAACAATCAACTCATCACAGCAATTTGCACAGAGTATAATGGAAGCTCACTACAATATTAGAAAGAGTAGCAGCTGAGGATGTGGATATTTATTTTTCTCATGATTCTACCCTTGTGTGCATCATAACCTGCCATCGATTCGGGGACTTAATATAAACTCCAGCAAAACACAGACAGAATTAGCTCTGGGAAGCACAAAACAGTGATCCCCATTTGAACTAAGAAATGGGGAAATTACAATCCAGAGAGCACAAGCAGGGACCATTACTCTCTACTTACCTTTTCTTTGGCTCTAAGCTGATCAAACATCTCTTGGATCTCTTGTTTCCAGTCTTCCTGCAGGGAGTGGAAGGAATCTTTGGGCATTTCAAAAAAACCAGACTCTTCTATGGCAGTAAGATGGTCTAGGATAGTGGCAAAGGAAGGTCGTGAGTGTGGGTCAGGGTTCCAGCAATCTAGAACAGAATAAAGACAAACAACTGTCAAGCATATCTAAGTATGAAGGTCTGAGAGGACAGGTAGTACTTTACTGATCCCCAGTGGCTAAGAGTGGCATACACACTACCTGTGTTACCCCAGCTTTCCCACTGCCCACTTTCACCGACTATTGTCAAGTATGGAATTCATGCTTTCATGCTTGTTCAATATCCAACAACACTTAAAATCTTGAACTACCTAACTACCTAGGTCTCTAGGTTCTATTGCAATAATATGTAAAGTAAAACATGGATTTATTAATTTTACAGAAGGATACACCTCAAAGCATTTTTAAAAAATAACAAATAATTTCCTTTAATATTTTGCTTTAAGATGCATATATATAGAAATACTATGCAAGGCTCTTGCAAATACTTCTTTTATAATAGTTACACTGCAGAGTTAACAGTCATACTGCAGGAGGATATCTATCAGGGTTTTTTCTGATGCCAAAATCTAATACTGAGCTGAGTCATTATGAATCTTTTCTCAGAATGGAAAACCTTTCCTGCAAAGCAAACTGGACATAACTTGTGTGAAAATAGGAGATTCAAATAAATAATGACATCAAATGGTGCATTTGGAGTTCTCCTATTTTTACAGGTCCTTTTTTATTATTTGAGGGAAAATTAATCAGTGATTTTTCTTTTGCTTTTAGGAGAAACCACAGATGTAAACAAGTCTTTTTCATTTACAATCCAATGCAATTATTCAGCCAATTACAGAGCTCTAAAAACAGAACCGAAGGTAACCATCTTACCACACAAAGCAGCTCAGTGAGCAACACTACAAAAGGCAATGTTTTACAGTGATGGGAATTGAACACAGAAAACAGAAACAGAAAATAATATGAAGTAACCCCCAATCCATTGCAAACAATTCCCCAAACCATGACATCAAAACATGTGATTTAACAACACTTTTGAATACAAAATTTGCACTCATTCAGTCCTCTCTCTTCCTTCTCCCTCATTTCTACTCCAGCAGAAAAAAAAAAATCACTTTCTCATTCTCATTCTATGTTGTCCTGTACCAGCACTTACACAGGTTCTTGTTCAGCAGGTGTCCTTATTCTCTTTAGTACTGCTAGATGCCTGCATGCCAAAATTCCAGAGCAACCAAACACAAAAACTTCACACTCACATGTATTTGTAAGGAATACAGCTTTTCTGAATGAATGGAAGTAACTAACACATGGGTCTCTCTCATCATACAGCATTGCTCCACATGGTCACTGGACTTAAGACAAGCATTACTGCAGCACAAGACATGAATCATAAAAAATGTTCTAAAAGTTTTCTAGACCTTGAAGTGAGAAAAAAGGAAATATTGTTAAAAATATTAGGTAATGTCCTAAAAGAAGTTCATTCATCAGTTTTGTGGACGGAAGTACACCAAGGGGCAGCTGTAATTAAAAACAAAAATCACTTCACAAAACCTGTATAGATAAATACATTTGTATCTGTGGCTTTTATTTTGCTTCTTTTTTCAAAATAGAGAACTGAGGATGTTTAAGAGTGCTCTGATGATCCCCTGCTGCTGGCCAATTAGTAGCAATGGGTGTTACAGCTGGACTGTCAGTGCCATAATCCCTGTCTCTTTACCTCAGGTTTTAAGCATGGCAAAGCAAACATGACCCAAAGTAAAACAAAATGCTGCAGCCAGCCAAATGCATGAATGAGTGAACAGGATAACTAGCAGGTGGCCCGTGGCTTTTATTTTCCCAGGCCTAGATCAGCCATTATTTGCACTAATGAGGACAGTTGTAACATATAACTTTTCTGTGAAGAGCAAAAGTTCAGCTTTGTTGTCTCAGTGAGACCACCACGGCAGTAATTCAAAAGTGAAAGCAGCACTAGAGGAAGAAGAGTTCACCCGAGACGGGAAACAGCCTGTTTGAAACACAGCTTTGGTGAAAGGGCAGAAAGTAATTGGGTTCTTTTGTTCCCATCTTCCCCCTGCACACGGAGAAGCCAAGCGTTCCAAAGCCACGTGGGTGCTCACCCCTGGGCTGCTGGGTTCAGGCACTGGCCAAATGCCTCTACCTAACTTTCCCAATAGAGGGCATGATTTTTAAATCCTCACTTATAGTTAAGAAATTCGGGAAAGTATGTCAAAATAAACTACCTGGCACAACACTGAGCTGGTAGTTTCACCCACTCTTTCACATGCAGTTTTTCACTTTACACTGCCTCTATGCTACTCTACCTGCAACTCTATTGTTTACTGTCCAGTAGGATATTTCTTTTGTAGCAGAACATACATGAAATTTTTCACTTTAAATTAACGGTAGCCTGTAACCCAATGAAAACACCAGAGAAATGAAAAAGTATTCCAAAAGCAGGAAAAAAAAATCCATCAGAAACATTTTCTTTATGATTCATATTCCTTTCCTGAGGCTAGAAGCCCCACCAGAGGCCACAGAGTAACAATTCTATGTTGAGACTCATTCTTTGGTCACCAAGACTATATAAACCAAGTTTGATTTCTCTTTATCTGTTTTCCTTTCTGACAGATAGGCATAAAAATGTTTATTGCATATAAACACCTACAAATCTCTGGGAATAGGGACACTGACAAAAATACTGAAGGTAAGAAAGAGAGGGCAGGAGAAAGGGAGGGAGAAATGAAGGGAGGAACAACTGAAGCTCAAGAGACATGAAAGTTGTTTCAACGGCCAGCAGACCAGGTCACAAAGAACACCTGAAAATGACCTCACACAACCCTTTTTAATAACTAGAGCAGCTCTGGTGACTAATTTCTGTATTTCTTTCACCTCTCTGTAGCCCACCTTAGGCACGAACTACCTCCACAGACAAAGCAGAAAATCACATCATTCTGACTGAAAATATGGGTTGTTTTGGAATATCAAAGCCACATTTAAAACCTCTCCCTGAAATGTCAGTAGGATAAATTTTCATTTCAAACCAATCTGACACTATTAGCAAGATGTTTGAGCTATGAATTTTAAAACAAATTAGACTTCAAACAAGACCTAAATATGTGAAGTTTTGGTGTTGGTCAGTCCTCACTACTAGAAAACAAGCTAAGAGATAACAGCAATAGCCCCCCTTTTCCTACAAAGCCAGTTAATAAAAAATCTTTCATTATTCTGGTAATAGACTGACTGTCACAGCACACTTACAGCCAGGCCTGGCTCCCACAATAACCTGCACCATTGGATAAAGCCACTGGAGAAATCTGTGCTCTGAGGTAAGAAAACCAACACAAAGAGGCCATGCTTAACAGCACTCTAGAAACAGCACAAACCACACACACCACAGCTGGCTTACCTTCCATGAGTTTGGCAAAAGGCTCAGGACACGTGGAAGGGATTGGAAGGGCAAGCTTATTCATAGCAACACCATATGCTACTGCAAGACCATCAATTCCTCTGAATGGTACTTCTCCTGTCAGCAGTTCCCAAAGCAGCACACCATAACTATTGGGAAGGAAACAAAAAAGAGAATAGGTGTTTGACTTTAACACAGCCTTTGTTAAGCAACAAGGTACCTGAACCTGGGAGTTTTGTATACTAAAGAAATTGCAGTTTGCAGGACAAGCTTATAATGAATGCCAAGCTGGTGATCTGCCCTATTCTACCTGCTTTTTTAAGTAAGTCTGAAATAAGATTACATTTTCACTTTTTAGGAAAAATAATATTCTCTCTGAAACTGGGAACAATCTGAAAACCACAAATCTTCTAATTTAGTTTCAAAACAGAACCTCTCAAAACACCCAACAATATGACGAAGATTGTTTGGTGGCTTGTGATTTCTAAAAATAAGTGAAAAATACTTCTTCAGAATTAAGTTGTTATCTTAAGATATTCTACAAAATACTACCTATGAAGTTATGGAAATAGTTCCAGGACTGTTCTCCCCCAAAGTATATGACGAAAAACATAACCTCAGAATATTCTAGGAAATCCGAAACAGAAACTGCTTCTTCATCCTTGGTGACCTGACAGTTTTTTCTTCCATTGATCTCTTACTCTCTTCTGAACCCATTTACCATCCATTATATTCTGTGGTAGTGAACTCCACAGATTTAACGATGCATTGCCAAAGAATACTTCTGTGTATGTGTTTTGAGCTTGTCACTTGGTAATTTCATTGGCTTCTTTGTAATTCTTTCAATACAAGAAAGAGTAAACATATGTTCCCTATTAGCTCCTTCAATGCTGTCCATGATTTCACAGGCTTCCATACATCCTGCCTAAATCATCATTTTTCCAGACCCCCAAATCCTCATCTAGCTAAATCCTAGTCTAGTTACTATCCTGAACAGCAGCCATTTCATATCTTTCATTGACTTTGACATCTTCTGTTGGAATGAGCAAAATCACAAAGTTTTAAAGATATGGTCAGAGGCACAAATGGTATTGCTTGCTTTCTTTCTTTCCTACTAAATTTTCATTTGCCAGTTGCCTTTCTCACTCTTTACAAAATAAGCTAAATTATCCGTAGTAGCTCCAATGTGTTTTTACTGAATCACAATAATAAAACTTAGAGTCCATAAATTGTACATATGAAGTTCTCCCATGGGTTCTACTTTGAATTTATTACCATTACCATCTATTTTATCATTCATGATAGTAAAACTTCTCATCATCTCTCTGCAGTACATTAATTTTTCTTATCCTGAATAACTTCGTATCATCAACCATGCTACCTAACCATGCATTGTTTTTTCAAATCACTTATGATTGTGTTGAACACAGAATTTCCCACTAAGGAAACAGATTTATTCTTTTATTAATTAATAACTGATTAAATAATGGAAAAAATACTTGCTCTCTTTTCCCACATAAATTTACTTTATTTAAATGCTTATGATGAAGGATTTTGCTTAAAGTCTTTATAAATCTAAATACAGTATAAGCAACCTCACCACTTATCCACAAATTCAGTATCTCCTTCAAGCATTTTCACTTTTCACAAAGCATTACATTTTCTTCTAAAAAGCTGACTCTTCCCCAGATATGTTCACATGTCCACCAGCACCCTGCTCTTTAGTGCTGTTTCTACCATTGAGAAGAACTCAAGATAATACTTGCCAATCCTTAGGAAGCTCTTTTAAGACCTGCCACCATGTCTGCTGCCTTCCATTTCTCTGGTACTACACCAGCTACCAGCTTTAAGCAACAGATTGCACAGCAGAGCTACTAACTCAGCTGACTCTCATGTTCTTGTAGAAATCTTGGGTGTTATTGTAAATCTCAGGAATTGTTACTGCTCATTTAATCAGTCAGTTTTAACCTCTTTGAATTTTACTTCAGTATAATATGTTCTCCAGGCTGGACTCCCTTAAAGAGAAATTTTCAGCTTAAAATGCCTCTTTGCTCTATTCTGGCAGACACAAGTCACTGAGGATTTTTTCTAGTATAGCCTTGTTTTCTTTGCACTCCCACATTTTACCCACCTCTGGGCTGTTATGTTCTCCTGCAGGGTTCTCACCTGTGCTGCATTTGAAAGCAAGGGATTCGGTTTTATGCTGTAAGAAGACTCTCTTCAAAACCCTTTTATCTTCTTTGTTTTATGTTAAATTTGAAAGAGCTCTAGTCAATGCATCATCTTCCTCATTTGGATACCGACTGAGCTTTTAAAAATATGTCTTTAGTAGTCTTTTCTACACTGCCTTCTTCCTTCTTTTAAAGGATTTCCCATACATTCAGTCGGAGTTTTAACAATGTCCTGAAAAGATATCCATGTTGTGTGTTCTGCTTTTGTTGTTTTTACACACAGTTCCCAATGTTGTCAATAATCTTGAGATTAAACACTACTGTAATGGACTAATTTTTCTTAATTGTGCTTGCAAAGATATAAAATCTTAATATACATATATTTGGACCATGTCATACTGTACCACCTTGAAGGCCTCCTAAGTACAACTGAAGACCAAATGAAAAACTGCTTCTCTTCCAACAAGCTCCTTAAATAGCTGCTCCATGAAAGAGTTAAAATATAAATATAATATAAAGCTAAAATAGTAAGCTTTTCTTGTTTCAAAGCAAGTTTCCCTGTCCATTTGGGAGTACATTATCACAAACTGTACCCTTGAGATCTCCCTTTCACCCCATCACATCTTTAACATTCACTGTAACTGCTGCTACCTTAGTGGGACACCTTTAACAGTACTTCTCCTACTTAGATAAAGGATTTTAGTAACTAAAGATCCAACCTTTGCTGCTAACACAACTATTTTACTTTATTAAGCAGAATATAATATTTTTTGACCTACACAATCTTTTGCTTTTTTCTTATGTAATTCAAACTCTTGAAATTATAATTTATCATTTCTTACTGTCTCAAGAGCATTATTTGAAGAAATTAAACTACAGTCTAAGTAGTTCCAAATTTCTTCTTGGCCTTCTAGGATTTATAAAAGACTCAAAGAAAATGGAAACTGAACTGAATGTATATTTGGACTGTCTAAATCTGATTGATCATTCATGTTACTTTTCAGTTTGGATATCACTGTTGATAGTAAAAGGTAATAAAATCTACCAAAGAGCTGTATTATTACTTTAACAGTAGTATTGGATAAAGCACTATTGATGTGTTCAAAGCACTTCTTCTGCAGGGTAATGTTTAAAGGAAAAAGGAATAGACAGATTGGTGTTTCTTCTAATGTGACACTAGAAGTGTATATTTCAGGAAAGGTCACTTTGCTTCTGAGAAAAACTCAATGCCACTATATTTACAGCTCATTGCTGAGAATACTGCTTCCACAGAACTGGAGAATACTGCTTTGTGGCACTTGAACAATAATCCCAAGTGAATAAACACCAAGAGAGGTGCTGAACAGAGTGTTTTCCTATTAACTCTCAAGCAGAAGATTGGGAAGTACAAAGGAAAAGGCCAGATCAGAAGACTTACACAAAAAAAGGCATAGAAATAAAGAAACAAGGGCCTCTATATATTCTCAGTGGGAGAAAGAAAAAGTGATCAAGCTCATTTATTTTTCCAGCCCCTAGTAGTAATTTTTGTACTTTAATTATGAAATGAACCGTGTGACACAACCCATGCATCCAAGTCAACTGACACTTGTGTGAATAATTAACCATCTTTCAGTGATCCAGTAATCCCTTAAACCATTTAACATCAGGTTCAATCCTACTCACTGGATTTTCAGGGCAAGGGAGGCTGGAGGTCTGCAGGATTTCACATGTGATTTTGCCACCTCCCTTGTTAGTCTAAAAAACAAGTAATTTTTTCTCACTGGTACTGTTCCATGGCATATGTACCACAGGCTTCTCTTATCCATCTCCCCAGGTTCAACACTTTCCATGAGGAAGGAATTATCAGCTCCACAAAAAGATCCCAGTTCCAACAGCAACTAGAACATGACTTTCATTAAGAAAAAAAACTCCCAAACTTCATTACATTTTTATGGCTATTATAGCTGGTATTTTGCATGTTAATGAACTGACAGTTCCAGAGACGACCTTTCCTGCCCATTTCACAACAATCACTATCATGTGCTTCTCCCAAGTGAGTTTCTTCTAATATTGCTAGTCAGCATTTATCTGCCAGGTATTGAAGTCTTGACCGTGCTTCATTGCACACAGAAAACTACAGAAGCTGACAAGTGGTCAGTTGTGGATAGAGGTGCTTGACCAACACTTGATTAAAACAAAATATTCTAATGACTGAAGTTTTTACACCCAGCACTGAATGCCTGAAACTTCCTGATCTGCTAATCTGATGGTTTTAGCTAGAGCTGGTATTCCATTCCTAAACGGAAATTAAATTCCCAATTATTTCACTGGTCTCAGTGTAGATACAGCTTAAAAACATCTAAATTGAGGAAGATAGAGCACCCAGATGATGGTTGTATGGTGCCTTTATATTCCACATACGGAAAGTACTTACAATATGACTGTTTTAAGTAGTACAAGTAAAAAACTAAGTGTACAGCAAACAAGAAATATATTTAAACAGCCAAATGACAGAAAAATGTTATTTATATGCCTACTAACATTAGCATACAGTACTGCATGAGCTGCAATATCCAAGCTTCAACTTTACCCTTGTAAATCCAAAGCAAATACAAACACATAACAGACTTACAGGAAGGGACTTACTTAAATAGAACTGTAGTTTCACTGTTCTCTGTACGATATAAGCACAAGGTTTCTACTACATATCTAGAGCTTGTGGGTACAGCACAGCAAAATTCACAGCAACAAGTTTTCACTAGCAAGCTTTACTAAGTACTGGTACTATGAACAAACTTCACAGTGGCTCAGACCCTGGTGATAAATACCATGTGTGGCCATTCCTCACTCTTTTTAAGTTCTTTGCCAACTCTACTCCAGAGTAAGCAGATGTAGCTTTTTTAACGGAGCTTGAAACATGTTTTGGAAAGATGAAGCAGTCAGTTATGATAAGGCTGACTCAGGAAATTTCAGTCCTAGCATACATCTTCTTCAGCTGTTTGTGCAGCAAGAACGCAAGGAGAACAAGATTCTTGTTCAAAGGCTGGGCAACAGTTCAGCCAGCAGTATTATTCTAATAAGCTTTAAAGAAAAGGTGTTGAAATAAAAGGGTTCACGAACATTAGAGACAATTCAATTGATGCTGCATAGACTAACTGGAAGGCTGTCAGGCAAAAAAAACCCCTATGACTCCAGTGATTAACCAAGAGGTTGAACTGGACAAGAGGAGGAGCAAGTCTAATAGGATAAAAAAGTTCATCCTGTTAAGAATTTCAGGTTGCATCCTTGGGTGGAGACAGGAATTATTACACAAGTCCATGACCGCTTTTGTAAAATCTAGGGCTCACAATCATTGGCAGACTAGTAGTGATCGCACTGGCAAGCATTTGTCTTCTGCATGCTCTTTGCAGTTTGTTTAACTATGAATAGAGGTTTTAGCCACCAGAAGGAAAAAGGTTATTCAGAGACAGTATGTAAATTCCCTTAATGGTGATGACTCTCTGTTTAAGGAAGAGTATTGTGAGGAACTCAAGGGAAGACTGGTAACTATAACAAGAGAAAGTGATGAAGGAATCTTAAAAGTAGAAGTATTCCGAAAAATGAACAAATAATTTCAGTTATTTACAGTCTTTAAGTCCTGAAGTGATTCACACTCCTTAAATCAATGATCAAACTGGTACTTTTGCATGGGCATAGAGGCACTTCATGAGAATCACCAACCATCTGGATAATTCTTAACTTTTTTCAAATTAATTCATACTGGTACAGAAAATCTACTGATCTGTTCATAGCATGCCTAGATTACTAAAGTTACAACTACAGGAAAACTGTTCCTCCTTTCTCTTAGGCTACCCTTAAAGGCCCTCTGGCACTGTTTCAGAGAACAGCAAGTTTAGGTTTGAGGTTGACAAGCTGTGTACAAACCAGTACCATCATCACAGGCACAGAAAAGGTGCACAGCCTTAAAATTTTCATTTCTGCCAGACTTCACTACAAATAAAAGTCTGGTTCTCGCTCAATCTGTCTCAGATTTGCTACAGAGGCTACCACATTTAATTACAGAGTCAGAATTTTATCCACATTATTAGAGTGCAAAATACAAGTTCAGAGACTTATCACAAGGCAATACATTATCTAGTCAGCAAAACTGGACAAGGAAAATGAAAATCTCCACACCAAATAGCTGCCATAAGAGCCAGACATGTCTACCAGATGGGCTATTTCTTTATCCTGGTGGGTTTTACAGCATGCACTCACTTGTGGAGGAGCATTAGTGACCAGCAACAAAATCTTACTGCTATGAAGACAAAGATCCTGACATTTCAATACCTTTTTCTCCACAAGAAAAACAAAATTCTCTCTATTCTATCTGTTTCAGATGTTCAGTACTAATTCCAAGTCATCCAACATCCAGAAAAGTCACTGTCCTAGAGCTATTTACTGAATTCTGTATTTACCAATCCACTTAACAGTGGCATTCAAACTCAATGTCTGGAAGTATATGGGCCAACCCTTACACTCCTCCCCACCAAATTAGCTCATCCACAAAAATTCCAGTGCATGAATGAACAAGAAAATATATATACATACAAGTTACTATTTATGGATTACATACTCAGATGGACCCAGATAAAAAATCTAATATCCTATGTGAAATACTAGAAGTGTAAAAATAATTAAATTATTTATATTTATTTATTTAAATTATTTATATTATTTATTTATTTATAAATAAAATTATTATGAAAACAAAAAACATAGTATTGGGATTGAAACAGGATAGGGAATTCAATTAAGTACAGTGTGTGTGTGTGTACACATACATTAGTGACAGATTACTACCAAAACAAAGTATTTCAAAATTATCTTGTATGTAAAACAGTATAAAAATAAAGTACTTCTCAGATTGTATTATGGCCTTTGATTATGCCAGTCAATAGCCAAATAAGCTCAAAATGTCTGGTTAAGATAAAGTAGAGGGGATTTGGATTATGGATCTCAAAATAATCTGAATGAAAACCTATAGAACAACAAAAATTTAGAGGCATGCAGTAGCTGGTCCACCACTTATTTTCTGCAGTAACAATACATCTGAGATAAGTCTGACAGATGGAAAGCTGGTGGATAAAGTTTTCTCAAGACCTGAGTTTTAGTATTTGGTTCACCATTACTCATTCTTACACATAAAAGAGACTTCCTGGCAGGTCTAGTTACCCTTTAGTATCCAGTCACTTAATGCCAAATCAATACCTCCAAACATCGCTGCCTTTGGAGAACATGGAAGAGCGGATGACCTCAGGAGCCATCCAGGCATATGTCCCAGCTGCGCTCATTTTGGTAGTTTTATGCCACTCCCTGGCCAAGCCGAAATCCGTGATCTTCAACATCTTGTTGCTCAGATCTCCATTTTCCACCTTTTCGAGTATCAGTACTGGAGAAAAGAGGGGGGGTTGGGAATAAAACGTATGCAGAGTAAAGCTAGTATTTATGCAAAAAAAAGATTTTCCTGGAGATCCCCCAAACTGCAAGATTTTCCCTGGCTTTTCGTTATTCAAACATACCATACCCTATTACAGGTTATTTCAGGCTGATTCATTCATCTGACAACTGAACAGTTCTCTAGCAAATAACTTCAAATTTAACCAAAGCACCAAGTCCCAGAAAAGAAATACGTAATAACATAATTATTTAATATAGTGCCTAGTGTCATTCTGTATAATGCTCTGCCAAGAGGAAGTGAACCACTGTAACTTCTAGAAATCCAGATAAGGGAAGACATTTCCTAATTAATCCTCTCTCAGCAAGCCAGTAATAGCATCATTTTCTTGAACTGCTTAGAGGACTTTTTTTTGTAAATCCAGATACACACATAGGCTGGATATACCCTTCATGTAAATGTATTAGGAGTAGAAGCTCTATGCACAGGTTTTTTTAAATCACTATTGAAAAAATTTATTTTTGATCAGTAATAACGTGCCCAATTCCAGAAGGCATATAGACCCCCATAGGCTCCCTCCCCCATCATTATTAAACAACTTTTCTCTGCCCTGTTTCAGTCCACAGCCAAGAACTTGAAAAACACCTTGAGGCAGAACTCAAGAATGCTGAGATACAAGACATATTCCTCTGTAGTTGGAAAGTTGTACTGTTACACCACCGAGTGTACACCAGAGCCCACAAGTATCCACTCTGCTTTAGCAGCACCTCATTATCCTCTTTATCTTAGAGCAGTGACCACACAAGTCACAGCAGCAATGCAACATAAAATAACAGAATATGAGGGCACTAAGCTTCCATAACTAATGGAACCATAAGCCCCTGAAATATTTTTAAGCCACTTTGTAAAGCACCACAAAGAAAGAAATATTTGTATTGGTATTATTCCAAAGACTTCACATCAAAAATCACGACGCCAGTTACACACCATCACTACACGGCTACTTTGTTTTTAATGTCATTACAGACACTACAGACAGAGGTTCTTAGAAAACATGAGGATGTTGATTTCTTTTTCTATGGATATATCAATTACAAAAAAAAAAAACAAAAACAAAAACAAAAACAAAAAAAAAAAAAAAAAAAAAAAAAAAAAAAAAAAAAAAAAAAAAAAAAAAAAAACAAAAAAAAAAAACCACAAAAAAACCCCCAACCAAACAAAAGAAACCCCATAAACTCCATAATCAAACAATCATGTATCATAACAAAACCTATAAAAGGCAAATATGCTGCAAAAATTACAGAAAATAATCTTCAGGACCATTTTCAGCAGTCCATGAAATGAAAAGACTCAAGTGTCAGCCTCAAGCTAACACAGCTTTCTTTTTTTTTTTGGGGAAGGGTGCGGGGGGGGCAGGCAGTATCATTCCTTCCAATAATTCAAATGGGGGTTCCCACCAAATAAAACCCAAAAGTGTTATTTGAAGCCTTCTACATTATAAGTAACACACATTTAAAATGTTAAAATACTGCTTTTACTTCAATAACAGATTTCACAAAATACTACTTCAAAGATTTTTGTGGGACAACTCAAGGTGTGAAGAAATTAGACCTATGGTTAAGTTCCTGGTTCTTGCTTCTTTTGCAAAATTTCTAACATGACGAAATAATGTTTTTTCCTTTTTCCTAATCAGAGAGAAAAGAGACTGAGGCCTAGAGTTACTGTTCTCTTCATTTTGGCAAAAACACATGCATTTTTAGAATACTTCAGTGCACAACAGAACCACCACAAGAAACCAAGGTAGAGAAGGTGCCTTCCTTTAGCCCTCTTCTTCAAATTAAGTCTAACTTTTTTACTTCTTTCTAGCAGATGAAGAAGTGCTAAAAGAAATTGCTGGCAAGTCACTCATTGATTGCAAAGTGAAAAGCTTCCTAGAATGTACATAGTGTTTCTTTTTCTAGCTTGTACCCATTCTGCCTAAAGAACTGGCAGAATAACAAAATGTAATTTTAAATTTAAATGCAGTAATGTAATTTAGAGATGTACAGTGATGTTGTAAAGTTGAAGTAAAACTTTGAGACAAGAAAGTATGGGTTTAGGGGGTTTGGGGATTTTTTTGCATCCCTCCATAATCACAATGAGGAACAAACAAATTTATTGTTCACAGACCATATTGTGTCTGAATGAGGTCAACAGCAGGACAGAGTAGCATATATGAGAACAGATACATACTTTGTACATACCTGCCTGGTAAGAGGTTATTTAAATCTAATTACCTTTATTTTTATTAAGTTCTAACAAAATAATTAGTACTTCCATAGTTCTTTTGTATCCAGAACTTGTTCTTTTGTCAGATGCAGGATAGTAAGAAAAATTACCATGACAAAAGACCACAGAGAAGGACAACAAAATAGTCAGATTTATCGTAAGTCTGATTCCTTAGTTATATCCTTGGCTCCTTGTCTATTTCCTTGTAATAACTGCTTGGAATAGCAATCTTGCAATCCAAATTTTTTAAAATTAATTTTAAGAATGGTATCTCTTTCCAGCATCTGTTTCAGTTCTCTTTATTGTGTTATTCGGTATCAACAGGCTCACTTGCCAGGAGTCTCCCTCGCCCATCTGTCAGACTTTCAAACCAAAAGCCTTGACTCTCTCCTCTTGTTTTTGCCTGAATTTCAATGAAGAACTTGTAAATAGGTGAAATATTAATTTGTTTCAGTCTCCTCCTTAAAAAAAAAAAAAACAAACCAACAAAACTTTTATGGAGAACACAGAGGAGGTTGCTAGGACATTGCACATGCATTTTGCTTATGCTAATCAACATGGTCTCATTTGCTTCTGAGTATTACCTACAATCAGTTATTACTCCTTGTTTAATACTCTCAGTGCCAGTCCTCTTCTGCAAGTACTACTTCTGCACTTGTTCATGAGAAAACAAACATAATACATGAAACACAAACAAGCAACATGCTCTCTACAGTTACAGAATTAATGTACTTTCCTTATTTTAATAGATTTGATCACTCAGGACTGAGATAACAGTGGACAGATGATTAACATCTGGCATAACTACACTGAGTTTGCATGGCCAGGTTTTGGTAGTGGGTTGGGTGGAAGATGCTAGAAGCTTTCCCCATGTCTAGCACAGCCAGTCCCTGGTAGCTCCAAGATGGATGTGCCACAGGCCAACAGTGAGGCAATCGGAAGTGACAGTAACACCTTTGTGACAACACATTTCAGAAGAAGAATAAAAAAATAGTTATCGTGCAGATGTAATTGCATCAAGAGAAGAGTGGAGAGAGAATATGTGAGAGAAACAAATCTGGAGACACCAATGTCAGTGCAGAAGGAAGGGGAGGGGAGGAGGTGCTCCAAACACCAAAGCTGAGCTTTCTATACAGTCCATTAAGGACCACATGGATGCAGAGATCCACCTGTACCACATGGAGGAGACCCATGCCAGAGCAGGTGGATGCCAGAGGAGGCTCATACTAGAACAGGCTCCTAGCAGGGACCTGCAGATGGGCGGAAAGGTTTCCTGGCAAGACTGGTGACTGCATGGGGGACCCATGTTGGAGCAGGCTGTGCCTGAAGGACTGCACCCCCTGAGGGAAGAGTGCAGGAAGAGTGACCCATGTTGCAGCAGTTTGTAGAGTTGTTGCCTGTGGGATAGACTCATGTTGGAGAAGAATCTCTTGTGGCAGGGACCCCACACCACAACAGTAGAAGGACTCCTCCCCCTGAGCACCAGCAGGAACAATGTGTGATGAATTGGACATAACCCCCATTCACTGCCTCCCTGTGTTGATGGAGAGAGGAAATACAGCTGGGAAGGAGAGAAGGGCTTTTTTTTTAAGGTATTCTTTTACTTCTCATTATCATGCTCTGAGTTTTTTACTAAGAAATTCAATTGATATTTCTAATTTGAGTCTGTTTTTGCCCGTAATGGTATTTGATGAGTGATCTTCCTGGTCCTTATCACAACTCATGAACCCTTTGTTTTATTTTCTCTCCCCTGTGCAGGTGCAGAGGGGAGTGACAGAGAGGCTTCAGTGGGTGCTTGGAATCCAGCCAGCATCAACCTACTACACTACCAAAACAAGTTCAGGCACACATACAGAGCACTTACATCAAAACACAGCTAATACACCAAGGAAGTAAATCTCAATCTTGTCCGCTGATTTTAAAGATCTGCAAGTGATACAGAGGTTTAAAATAGGTAGAAAATTTGAAAGAAAATCTTTCACATTCCCAGCCTTCAAAAGAGAGATTAGCAGCAAAGACACTGAACCTAGTCTGCAAGCAACCAGGGAAGAATGAGATCCAAACCAGAAAGAACAAGAAGAATGTGTATCAGCTTGTAAGGGGTGGATCAGCCTTTCCCTGTTTCAGCAAGGTTCATGCAAGAAATCTCTTCCTACGTGTGCAGGCACAGAGCCAGCCAAATTGTAGATGGTGGTCTGCTATGTACTACTGCTCCTCTTCTTCTTCTGTGGCACAGGCTAAAAGCTGATCTTAAGTAGCATGCCAACCAGGTAGGAGCCAACCAGCAATGTGCAAAGGGGAATCCTGAAAGACTTGGAACTTGTCCTCAAGAAAATAAGCATTTGACAATGAGAAATGAATTACAGCTCACAGAAATTCTGTTCAGCAAGACAGCTCTTCAGTATCTCCATGTGTCCCAGTGTAGAATGAATATGACCAAATTTGCCTTACTATCTCTTCACAAGACCTTCCTTAGATCAGGCAGTCATCCAGATACAGATACATATGATTTCGCTGTGTAATTTCAACCACTAAGTGTGTACCAAGAATTTTATTACCACATGGACCTTCAAAAGTCATTACTGATCCTTGATCTGACCCCACTGTTTTATCCCTTGAGAGCCAGGCAGACTGCAAGTGCTGAAAGATGACAGTCAATCAAGGCACATTAGAGAGCCGAGACAGAAAGTTAGAAATTAAATACTGAGCCTCCTCTTATCTAGGTT